TGTGTAAAAATGGTCATTTTCTAGGGTTGTACCCGATTTTGTCAGTCGGCTCTTCAGTATGACTATGTGTAAGGCCTATACTCTTAGAAAATCAACTGGCTTAAATTGGGACCTTTTTAAATTGACAATGTATAATGTGGAGCTGTCATATGGATTAGTCAGAATAACGAGACAGGCAGCACACTTATATTTTTGTTGAAACATTGGTCTTATAGGCTTCTGAGACATGGTTATAGCCCAGTTTACCAACAAGTTTGAGCTTCTCCCATCAGTTGACCACAGCGCATGTTGTTACTGTGCGTTTGATGTGTGCCACAGGTCCCGTCTGACTTTGACGTCTTTCCTGGCTGTTTTCCTTCTTTTTGATGTTGAACTGAGTGCAGACTGATTACCATCATAGCTCAGTTCAAAGGCTCTAGGTAGCATCCCCATCATGCTCAAATATATGGGTGGCACCTGATAATGGTGGTCAAAAGGGTTTAGTTCGCCTTCCCTTTATCACTGGTCTCCTTTGCCCCTTCCCTCTGCCAACAGGAGCACAGATGATCCAGCGATCCTGAAAGAACCAAGATCCAGACAGACAAGACACACACACGTACACACACATCAGATAACAGTATGATTGGTCCCAGACAGTGAGCCTTTCTCTTCTTGCAGTCATGACTTATTTGCCAGTTTTCTTTGGTTAAAAATTTTGCACCACTCCTGGGATTAGCATGCAGCACACTGTCTGTAATTGCTGATATATCTTAACCCATACTGATTCCTACGTAAAACATGCAAGCCAGTTGCGTTGTTCTTCAGATGCTGCTTAGTATGTTTCCATGTCATGGAATACATTGTGCTTTCTCTCATTCTCAAGTTGATTATTACATACTTCCTGGAAGGGAGTGTGTTCTCAGATTCATCTTACTTTTTGACTAATTAAAGGATGTTTGAGGTTTTCTCTAAACCCCCACAGATCATCAGGCACTTAATTAGCTCTGTCAATAGAGGAAACTCCCTTTTCCTCCAGGGACACTGAGTCATGCTGATACTGAGCTCTGACTGCAGGGTGATTACTGGTTACATTACTGGGCACAGTACATGACAATGAAAGTGTTACTTTACAGTGTTGATACACTGTGTTATGAAGCACACTTGCAAATTTGTGTGATTTACCTGGGATGAAAGGGCTTTCAATTGCAACCAAATCCACAAGACAGAACAAACAAATCACTCAATACAGTTACTGTACAGTGTCACGGGAATCAGTAGGATCGAAATCTAGCCATGTGGCTTGGCTAGACAGGCTTTTCGTTCCAGCTGGCACTATGCTTGTTGCTGGAGCTGATTCGGAGCTCAAAGGTGAAGCTGTATTGTTTCAGTTTTTTTTCATTTCCATTGTTTACACATGCTACCACCACTAATGGTATGCTCTGTGAGGGGCTTTGCAAATCCTGCTACAGCTGTCGTCCCTTGTGTGGAGTTAAATTTCAGTTATGTGATACTGTAGGTCCAAACAAGCCTCCATCCCTGGTTGCTGCCAAGTGTGCCCTTTAACTGTAATGTACACTGGACCCACAAATCCCGGTGCCAGCCTCCTGATAATCAGTCAGGTGTGGCCTCCTATCCCCAACAGACTCTCTCTGCAGGGTCCTATGAAGGTAGCCACACAAGGGACAACTCGGTGCCACCTGATCTTTGTGAAAACCATTAGTGGTACTGAGGCCTGGTGTTTCTGCACCTCCTCTCTCGACACCCTGGCTATGTGACAAGGTGGGCAGATATGTTCACCAGCTGCTGTTGAGCCCTGAACATTTCTTACATTGTGCAGCCTAGAACTGAATTGGAATGGTACTTTGGCTGTTTACTTGTTGATCATCGAAAAACATAGTTATCACAGTTTTTCCTTTTTCACCATCAGTGCCTCTTCTTAGCACTCTGTTTCTATGTGTTTTCAGGTGACTCATGTCTTTTGGAAATGCTTCTGTCTGGGTTTTAAATTCCTCATCTTTTACAACTTTCTCTCTCACTCTCATCCTTCCTCTGTCTCCCTCTTCCATCTCTCAAAGCCAGGTCCTCAAAGCCAAGCCAGGTATGATTATACCTTGGTTGTTGCTATTCTCAGAGGAGCGATACACATGCTTTTTCCAGAGTCTGGACTAAGGAAGAAGCAGATATGAAAAAAAGAGGGAGAACAGTGAGTCTCTGATGTGTTTGTTTGGATCAGCATCTAGTATACCTCACTGATAGGTTCAGTTAGTTTTTTTCCATTTACGTGACTTGGAGGGACATTGTAATGATTGTTACAGCACTTTCATGGACTGCATCACTAAAACACTCTAGTTTTGCTTGCTGTCCTCCAGGGCTTACATCTGCGGAGGACTGATAATCAGGCCCTGATGCTTCATGTTCATTCTGTCTATGCTGTAGCTTGTGTTAAATTGTTTCATGCAGCATTACAGTGACAAGTCTTTGAATGCAGAATATTTGTCAGAATATAAAAATCACACTTTCCTGCAATACATTCCTGCAAAGGGAAAAAAACACGTAGCTCTTCAGCTGTATATGAACAAGATAGGTTTGATGAGGTTCACAGCTGAAATAGCACTTAATGGAATATAATAAATATATTCTCACCAGAAGGTTTGTTTAAGACTGTAGAATTTTTTTTGATGTACCACATGATCTTTATCAGCTGGTGGAGTTTGCCCAGTTACAAAAGAAAAGAAAGAATGTTTTTCTGCCTATAGTATTCTCACTCACTCCCAAGATTCCTAAACCTTTATTAAACATGGAAAAGTTAACAATTAAGCTTACTTATTAAAAGCCATTAGAGCAGTTTTATGCTTGACACCAGTTTATAATTTTTACATTATATAATCATGACTTTCAAAAGTGGCCACCCAATTTTGACAATATAGTCCTGTCTGCCATTGTAACTAAAAGGTTGGATATCTGACTGACAACCCCTAATGGCTGAGAACGTTGCTTTAGCTGCTTGAGCTTATGTGAACTTCACAGACTGACAGATACTGGGGGCCAGAGGTTTTTAAGGTGGTAAGCTCAAAAAATTATGAACCATTTTGCCTTTGTGTCACACTGAGGAAGAGGTACCTACAACAAATGTCTGCAGGCAGACGTGAACTGCTGCTGTCGTGTGAATATGGCCCCTGCAGAAGCCACTCACCTATCAGGATGCCAGTTTACAGCTGACTGAAAGATTCAGAATACTGTTCACTGCTAGCTGGTAGTGAGGGGATCTATTTACGATCAGCTACTCAGTGAGCAAGACGTGTGATCACCTGGACTGTTTATGTAAAGACTCACTACTCTGGTGTTTTATACCAGCTCAACCGTTATCTTTTCAACAGTGATGCACAGTGCGGTTTCTTTCTATTCTCTTTGGTGTAAATAGTACATCAATAGGCAATGAGCATATTGACAATAGTTTAAAACAGATAAATAAATAAAATCACTAGGTAGTAGAAGATTTGTAGTTTGGTCCACTCCTGGAATTAATGCTAATTAACTGCAGCTGACAACATTTGCCAGGTGACAGAAAAATCAACTGCCGAATAATTGTTACAGATTTGTTCTACTTTTAGTGCTACTAACCGCTACGAACATATCAGGAGAAAATGGTCAATTCTAAAGGGATAAAGGTAGATTTTTAAAAAGTCTTTTCAGTAATTAGTCAGGCTAAAAACACAGCAAATTGTTATATAAGTGGCTTACTTCGCCCTTTATACAAATGAATCTAAAGGCATACAGTATTATTTGTAAATATGTTTTGTAGCAACTAAAAAAGAGTGTGGGTGTAGCAGAAATGCAGTGTACCAGAAAAACAGCAATGGTTTCCATGTATGATGTCGATCTCTGTCTTGATAAAAAAACACATCCAGTTTATTGCTAAGAATGTTATCTACAGCTTTTCATGGTTCTCTCATTCAAACACTGCTAATATTAAACTGTCAACTCATTTTTAGAGTCGCCATCATTGTAATTACAGATCCTTTGTTCCATTATTAGTTTCAGTTGAGACACAAAGGCTGTATTTATTGGAAAAAAGCAAAGACCCATATTTGTATGAGCTGCAACTGATTAGGTCACTGCAGGGGTCGTTATATCATGTAATGTGAATGGGTTGAATTAGTTTTTGAGTTATTTACAGGCTTTTACTGCTGACACACAGGATAGTAAGTCTGGGAACACAGAAGAGAGGAAGTTTAAAGGAGACTGTCAAACAAAGCAGCAGTACCCTCTGGACTATCAGTCCTTATCAAAGCCTAACAACTGAGGATTTTTTTAACAATTCCTAAGAAAGCTTGGTTGTGTTTACCAACTACAGATTACTGTTTAGAAGGAAAAAGTAGTCAGTGGAAGGCCAGATCACTCCTGGGATGGATTTGGGATCAGTGAGTGCTCAGGCCCCTCAGTCACCTGATTAGGTTTGGTCCAAATAATCCAGACAAGTCTAACATTGCAAACAAGAAAACAACAGTTTAGGTCTCAAAACATCACATTTGTTTTCCCTGTCTCACCAGCAGACTGTGAAAATCTATTTTCATCTCAGTCTGAGAAGCATAGTCGCCTGCTGCAGAGATGTTAACAGACGGCGCTTACTGTTTTTTCCCCCCTCTGTTAACAAAGACGCCACTATGCTAAAGTTCAGAGTGTGCATATCAGAGCAAAGCAAGTGTCTAGTAGGGAGAACCCAGCATGCCGTCTCTGTGAGTTTATCTGCAAAGAGAGTACATAAACCACCGCAAGCCCTGATTAAAAGAACACTTCACAGCTTTACAGCACAACAATTACACCATAACACCTGGTATTTTCAGTTATATTAAAGAGAACATGTGATAACCAAAGATTTGACATCTGTGCAGTTTAGCTGTGTGAAATGGGATCATGTCAGGGACAGTGGCTGATCTTATACTGTAGTGAATTTGCTCTTATCTCTTCCTCCGATATATATGTTTTACCACTCTGTTGGTCCTTTGTTTTGTCTTTACCAGGTTCAGCTGCATCTGAAGCCCATCCTGTCTCTGCTGCGCCACCAGAAGCCCCTGGTCTTTGTGCTCAATGCCCCCCAACCATTGATCTGGAAGATCAAGACAGAGAACTTGGCCCTGGGCATCAAACGTACCTTTTATGTAAGTCCAGCATCCTAAAATCCTTTAAATCCTACTTCCTAAACCTATGCATTCATTTCCTCACAGGCTAAACTCCCATTTCAGTGTCTCTCTTCTTTGAGAAAAACTTTAATGTCATTTAAACCCACATACTCCCGTGGGGGCTTTCCATGATAATGGTTTGATGGTGAGAAATTAATACCTGTATATCCATACAGTGTTTCACCAGCTACATCTGTGTACTCTTCAGAAAACTGTGCAGATAACATTCTTTCTCTTTTGCATAATTACAAGATAATTGTGGATGTAGTGATAGATTAGTACAAGTGTGGTTTATATGTACATTTTTAAATTTATATCCAAATATTCAGCACATAATAGTGGGAGTTTATTATTTGTTTTTTACTGTCATTCTTTTGCCAGATTGAAGCCAGTATCACTCCCCCACATCACAGTGTAAAATATATTTACTTAAAAAGGAGAAATGTGCTTTGTCAGCTTTACTCACACACAATCACAGAGCCATCAGTGCCTCCTTCCCTCCTCTAAGCAGTCTTGTTGATAACTTGGCAGCTCTTCAAATCAGACAGGGCGTATCTGTGTATCACAAAAAAATCATAGCAGGGAATGTGTGCTAGCAAACACTAACCAACCAAAGGAGGATGGTAGCTTTTCTATTTGCTGAAAGTACTAACACTTGGTTTGTAAATAAATTGAATCTTAACAGTTGGTGTGCAGTCTGCACCTTGAGAAAGTGATCCACATTCTAGCAAGACATTCATTCAAAGAAGAAGTCTTCATCACTGACTTAAAGAAAGACTATAACTTTCGGCCACTGTGGCCATGAGTAGTAATGGAACACTGAATGAACTGAACTTCATTTCTTAAGATTTCTCTTGAGCCATCTTGAGCCAGCTTTTCACGTGCCTTTTGTGACATGCTAAAATATACTGTAATAGGACTGCAAGTAGAGAATGGTCATATAATTAGCAAACGGACTCATTAAGGTTACACTGCATCTATTTAAAGTTTTCAAATGTTAGCTAGCATTATCCACCATGAGCTACTGGCCATGCCATGCCAAGGACGGCTGTAGCAGCAAGGACTGAAGGTACTGAACTGAGAAATGGTGTGTTCCTTGGTAAGAGGAAGGGTGTATTTTTTCTTCTTTCAAAGGTGACATAGTCTTTCTTTAAGTTGCCAGCAATTTCAAATAGCTTCATGGAGGCTAATATTAGTAGCAGGGTACATATGGTGGAGGAAGAGATGGTGTTTTGGTAGGGGGTATTCCAGTGTAGCTGGAGTCAGGTCCCTTGGAGAGCCAGCCATATTTAGTACAGATACCAGGGGGCCTCCCTGGGAAGCTTCATCAAAAACCTTTTGAAATGAACTTCTTCAGTGTCTGTTCAAAACCTGTGGTCACATGAAGGAAATCATAGCAAAATAAGATCCAGAAGCTGTAGCTGTGACTTAACCTTATGCTAATGCTACAAAAGCCTTTTCTTTGCCTTTATATGCTCTGAAGATTTTTGGGTGTCATTGGCTTCCCAGATTTTCATTTTTATGTTGACACCACTGCATTCTTGCAGAATGCAGTATCGGCTGCACTAATTATTTCCATACATGGTGGAGTGTTTTCTTGCTTACCTCTTAGGCACAAAATATTCTGCCGTGAAAGCCACAGAGAAGAATATACAATGACTGCAAATCCACGCATTGGGCACAGGCTCATATATACACATGTACACACACATTATATGAAGAGCCTTCTAGATGTAATAAAACCTTGTTAGACTTGTCTGACACTTGACTTTCATCATGATTCCTGTACTCTAAACATTGGTGCATAGTTATAGGATACTGTACTGTTTTTTATTTATTGTGCATCCAAATAAATCTTCCTTTTAAGAGGAATTTTGAAAAGTCAGTTTCTATAGATGCAATTTTTACCTTTAAAGACATTTTAAGGTACCTGCACAAATTGAGAAAACCAATATGTGAACCCACGACCCGGTTCCGGATAATGGATAGTGGATAGATGGAATATGTGAGGTGAACTGGAAAATAACAAAAATCTTTTTATAATTTTTTGTGCGTGACCGGGATCCTAGCTTGGAGACGTGAGGAAGGGGGTGCCAAATGCTTCTTTTAAATATTATTTTCTTTAGTGATGGAAATGTTCTCATGTCAAAAGAAATGGACATGCATCTGGCCTGTCTGCATTTTCCTAAGCCGTGCAAATGATCAGTGAGCTGGGTCTGTCTGTAGACACCAGCAGGTCAGCATCACAGTAAATGTCTCCCATTGTCAGTGATGGCAGACAGAAAACAGCTGGCGCCCATCATTAAAGCACAGTACAGACAGAGCTGTTGTGTCTAATGATGTTGGCCATTGGTGCTTTTGCAGAGTGCACTTTTCACTTCTTAATCTCATCTTAAGTAAAAGAGGCTGCTCAAAATCTACTTTTTAAATGATATGATATGTGCCTGTATTAGAGGAATGTGCATCTTCAGATTAATTCACAGTAGATACTCATGCTCAGCTATTCACCTGTCTGGATATAAAAACATATCCTCTATATTTTATGAGACAAAGCTGAGGTTTTAGCTTTCTTTGTTGGCCCTCTAGTAAGATTTTAAAGTGGAGTGAGAAAAGATAAAGGGAATTTTAGCATTAAAGATGGAGGCCCCTGCAGTCAAAAAAGCTGAGCTGATGGATCTGACTGACTGCAGGGGCCCCTGCTGGATTAGGTGTTAAATATTTTTGTTTGAGTGACAACACTGTGCCCTCTGGCAGTGAAAGCTGGTGGAATCTTATCCACCAGCTTTCACTGCACATGGCTATGACCCAGAGGAGTCCCAGATGCTGCGCCTCTGCTCAGGTTCTCAGCGACATGACACTTAACATACCACAAAACTCAAGCACCACACAACATCCTACTGGAAGAACAATCACCAGCCTTTTTAACTGTTAAGATTCCCCTGTTTTCATAAAACCCCCAGTGTTGCCAACTTAGTGGTTATCTCATTTGATTTGGTGACTTTAAAGACGCCTCCTTTTTTTCAATAAAGTGACTAGCAATAAATCTTGTGACTTTGTGGGCAGACTCCCTCCCTTTCTTTTGAAGAGAGTTACCAGTGTTTCTCAGTTATGTGCTGTGATGTGGCTGTGGCTCCTGGACTGACTGTGTTCAGTGTGTGGTGGGGGGTAGCTGCATGTTCAACCAATCAGCAGCCAGGAAGAAGAGCCACAAATGTGGCCAAATGACCAATTACCGAAGAATTCGTTCCAGTGTTTGGATCCATTCTATTTATCTAAAGCTATGTTCACATCACCTGCGGAAGTAGCCCAGTTCTTAATTATTTTCTCTTCGAGTGACCCAGATATGATCTTTTCACAGATGTGTGAACCAAACAAATCAGATTTTTTTCATATCAAATCTGGGCTATGTGGCTCTAGAGCCAAACCATATTTGGTCTTTGACTATCCGACTGCTGTCAGAACGATCATATCGGTATTCATGTGGGTTTTTTAGTGCCTAGCTTACAATTTACATAACTGTGGGTTTTCCCTTCTGCAAGAGACAACAGCTTTTAGGAAGCGGATTAGTCAACTTGTTCAATGCTGTTTCAGTTATTACATTGGCTGAAAGGTGATCAATGCAACACAGTGGATGAGGTAATCCTACAAAGCTGGTTAGCTGGCATAAAGCTGACACGAGGTCAAATCTTGTGTTAGAGCTAATAAACGTTACACTTCTGCTCTTGTTTTTGGTTTTAAAAAGGCTAAAAGGAGGACATCACCCTCCAAACCCCTGAAGTGTTAAGTATCATTGTTACTGCAGTCCTGTATACGCCGCTCCAACATGTGGTCCAATGATTGGCAGGCCTGGTATATCTAGTTAGAGTCACTAAGGTACAATTAGACATTTCAGGGAGGGGTTTTACAAATGGTCACTTAAATTAAAAACTTGCATCAGGCCACAGGAGTATCATGTATCATGAACACAGATGCAAAAATGTTGTTGTATTAGGGACCTTGCCAATTCCTGCAGTTTTGGATCTGTACCTCTTGGGTTTAGGTGAGAAACTGCTGTGGTGAGAGCATAGAGCAACAAGAGTCAAGAGAAACTGGCTTTGAGCTTAACACTTCAGAACAGAAACCCACTGCCAGACTCCCTCACCCTGCCTGTCTGCTGGGGAAGCTGTTTCCTGGGGCTAACTGGACTCTGAACCAGGCCTCCCAGGCCGTGTTTCCTGGTCCCAGGGCTCTGGCCTCCACAGACACAGATCAACTGCCTGGTAAAGCTTCATAGATGCTGAGCACACTGTTGCTGTTGGCCACTAGACCCTGCTAACTTACCAGAATCCAGACTTTTATTGTAAAACATGTTCTTTGGGTCTAAAATTACATGAAATACTGACACCGAAATCAGGCCAAGTTTTATTTTATCAGGGGACACTGGTATTCCAAGGGAGGCACATGTGCAGAGTGCGCTGTGTTGACTTTGTGGCAAAATGTATATATTTATGTTTGAACATTGGGAGAAGAGGGCTGTGTTGCATCTCTGTGTGAAAGGCTTGATCTGGAGCAAATGTTTTATGACTCTTGATGGAACAAAACTGGAACACACAAAGTTTTTCTGTTGGCTTACTTTGTCTATTGTTTGTTTGCCAAGTTGTGCCTTTTCACTCCTGTAGCTTTTTCATTAGTTGAAGCTTTGTAGCAAGAGTTTTTCACCCTCACACACGAGCACTCTCTAAATGTAATGGAAAACATGGGTAGCCACTATTGGTTTTTACTTGGAGACAGGAATGGCAGGAGAACACTCCAGAGTGGCGCTGAGACATATGGTATTGTTTTCTGCACAACAGAGCCTGCCAGTTCACAGGAACACATGCGCATCTGCAGCAAGCAGCGCAATTAACTCCCAGCATCTCATCAGGAAGGAGAAGATCAAATCAACCACAAAAGCATTTATCACATTAATATCACCAGAGAGTTATTGGATGCTCATATTATCTGTCAACCATTTCTGCACTTTCCATCACCCTCCTCTGTTTGCAACACCTTTTAATTTCGAAACAGCCCATTGTGATTTCCCAGTCTCAGAGTTATGCTTAGTGAGAACACAGTGGAGGATTACAGCTCTGTGATAATTGATCTCAAACATTTGGCATGCCTTCTCCTTTTTACTGCTCATATGGTCATAATATCTTGAAGCTTATAGGCAGGAAATATCCTGCTAAATATTTTGACCATGCTGTTGAATCACAACAGATGATGAAGAAAAATGTTTGCTTACAATTTAAACATGCATTAGAATAGTACATTAGATGACATTATGTAATACTGAACCAACCCAGTAATTTTATTATTGAGGTTAACAGTTGCTATCTGAATTGTTAAAGTGGAACAACTAATATAACTATGAGTACTGGGCATGAGTCTCCACCCTCATGTATGGGAAAGCATGGGTTTCAGTCCCCATGGTACAGTATGCAGCTGACTTCTCCTCTGCCTTCTTTGTTTGCTCTCATCTTTCAAGTCTTGTCTGTATTCCAGTTTCAGAAAACATTAGTCTAAATGGGAAAAGCTTAAACTGGCTTATTAGGAGGTGACAGTGGTGTGATGGGTAGAGCAGTCATCTCTCAACCAGAAGGTTGAAGGGTCATATCTCAGTGCCTGCAGTCCACATGTTAAAGTGTCCTGGGGCAAGACACTGAACCCGCCCCCGATGGTTAGAGCAATTGGCTTAGTTGGCACCGCAGATGGCTGCCATCGGTTCTGTACTGGAAACAAATTCCTTGTGTGTAACATACTTGGCCAGTAAAGGTGATTAACCTTATCCTATTCCACCAGTGCGGTGACATGTAAAAGCAAAATAACCATGATAGTTTGACCCTCATAATGTGATTCCTTGACCATGAAAACCTACTAGTACCATTTGCAATATCATTATTAATTTAAAAGATATTCAAAAAAACATTTCCCTTTACAGTGCTGGAGTGCAGGGGCAACTCCACAAAGCCTCACACTGTGAGTATGAACACGTTGATGGTACAAAGCTGCAGAGGGGACAGTGCACATAGTGACGCGTTTACCATGTAGACCCTATTACTTCTGCTTTGGTGGAGGTGATAAATATGAGGGCTTTTCAGTTAGCACTGATTAGTCATGTGACCGACCTGAATCACACAAAGATCTTTTAAATCATCTACACATTTCTGACATGAGAATTAACAAAACTGATTTATCAGAGCGCATTGTTCTACATTAACATTACGATAGTTTTCTTTGAATTTAATAACAATCATGTGAGTGGCGTTAGCGTCAAAATGAACCCTATTGTGTAGTGAAGTGTGTAGTGTATTGAGTGACAGCTTATGTAACAGTATGAACTGTAGTACATTTATACTATATGTTCTACTTAGGCTCATGATAGAGGTTCCTCCTTTAGCTCTGTCAGCTGGGCATACAAAAGAGGAGTGAGAGAGAAATAAAGTGGGCGAGTCTGTTAAAACCCAGAGTGAGTCCCTCTCTTCTGTTTCAGATTCCTGTGGTTTTCAGTCCCCTGGAAGGCCTGGAGCTAATTTGGCTTTGAGGCTTTCCCCTCTAATTCTTTGCGACTAATTACAGTCCCACAATTAAACTGATAAAGTCTGAATTTGGCAAGGTTAGGAAAGAAACCCTAGCCCCTCCCTCCTGGCTCCGGGCACCACATTTCTCCTCTTTGCCATCTTTCTCTGTGCTCCTTCTCTTTGTAGTAAACACGCTAAAAATAAAATCAACCTGAATTCTTCGACAGAGTCTGTCTTCTCTGCTTCACGATTTATTGCCTCTGGTGACAATGCCAGGAACATTGGGAGGCGCGTGCAGAGGTCAGACAGATGTTGCGAATGAGGGGATTTGAGTAGTTATATCTGAAAAACCTAAACACCTGAAGGGATATTATTCTGTTATCGGTAAAGCATAACTACAATTTAGGGACAGCTTCATAACATCATCACAAAGTGGTCTTATGTAGTCCTCTTGGATTCAAATGGCTTTAATGTCTTAATTAGGTCTGGTAGCACTGTCTCAGCTCATGCATACAGATAGGATACCTTGGGAGAAAGAAAAATAAGTATGGAAATAAACTGAGGTAGGCTGTCTAGACCATGCGCTTGGCCTCATTTGGTTGTTCAGTAGGTTTTCAGCACATGTGAATGTTTATTTCTCTGAAATGAAGCATGTGGGCTGAGCTCCATTAAGTGCCAAAGGGCTGGTCCCTCCTAAATGTGGCTAGGCCAGTTTCCTTGTCAAATGCAAATCAGCACTTCTTTGCCCTGCATATTTTTAGGCCTTCTCCTAGATTTGTGCCTTTTTTTTGTGACTGGTCAGCTGGATTCAGCACAGCAATCAGCCAACTACCATTAGTATAACTGATCACAATTATTCTAACTGTGGAATGATGAACAGCTAAACTCTGAATGTTTGTGTGTTTTTTATAAGACAGAGTAGCTCCCATCCAACCCACATCTCAAATCTTGTTTTACTGATTGGACTCCAGGTTTGCTTACTCCGGACTTCAGTTAGCTTTTGTTGATGTCATTAGCCTTCACATGCTTTTTTCCAGCCTACCCTGTGAATGATGTGTTCAATATAGACAAGAATAATGCAATACAATTATGTGTTTTAGGTAAAATAGATTGTATTTGCTCGTAATTGTAACTTTGGGTCATTTCACAGGGGCCTCTAGAATGTAGACTGAGCGCTAGTGTGCGAGCAACCACCTACCACTTTCCTGTCTGACAGTATGTCTGTCTTCGTGAAGAATTTGTGTCTTCTCTGTTAGTTCTTTGTGGCTATTGTGAAGCAGACCTACACATTTGTGATGACACACTACAATGAATTACACCGTAACACTGGAAACCAGAGACCTTATTGTGCAGGGGAACGTGTAAAAATACACAGGGCATGTTTGTAGAAGCTTGGAAATAACAGTTCGGATGGAGTGTGAAGGGTGGTTTTCACCAGTGTTTAGAGAGAAGATTTAATTTTGGAAAGGCTGAGCTCTGTCAGAGTGCCTGCAGGTTGTTGTGTATGAGTGTAGCTGAGCTGACTTTTATGTGCATATGGTTCTCAAAAATAAGCTTGACTTAAATTTACACTCAATACAAAATTTTCGATAAACTGTGAGAGTAGAGTACTGTTACACCCTCTTTGATATTTATTACTTTAGAAAATAACTGAACTGAAATGGATGCTGGATTAACATTAAAGCCAAATAGACTGAAGAAAATGTGCCCGTATCTCTCCTGGGCTTCTGTATTTACTATCGCATTGTATTGAGCAGCGCTAACTGCAGCTCCTTTGTCCTCTAACACTTCTGCCTTTTCTCCTCCTCAAGATACCTGAGGGCTCCGAGGTCCACTTTCAGCCAGGAAACTTCTCCGTCTCCTGCCAGATTGAGGAGGAGACCCTTCCCCACGGCAATGAGCACCTCCTCAACTGGGCCCAGAAGAAGTTCAGGGCAGTCACCTCTTTCTCTGAGCTCAGGATGACTCAAGACATCTATATCAAAGTCGGAGAAGGTGTGCACTAGATATCCAACATACCCAAACATAGCTCTAGGCCCCAGGGCATACCTCCCCATTTCCCTTCAGCTCTCATAACTTTACTTAGCTTTTGTGTTTGAGCCCTGGCTAGAGGTTTACATGTACTATGCTGGGAGAAGTATTGTCTTCCCTCAGCTGGGTTTCACCTTTTCACACTATTTAACAGGCTACCTGTGGTAATTCTGGGTTAGAGCTGCTCACAGCCGTAAGAAATATTGAACCCCAGTAGAATAAAGAAAGCACAGGCATAGTATATTTGAGTGTTTTGGAAACTAATCTAAGCTCATTGCAAGCAGAAAACTCCTTGATGCTCCTTGTATTTTTTATTAAGCTGAAACAATAATTAGTCGGAAAATTCATCTGCAATTTAATAATCTTTTTGCTAATTTTTCATAAATTACAAAAATGACCTGCAGTACAGGTATGTCTAATGTGAGGTTTTATTATCTTATGTTAGTGTAAACCAGTACAGTGCATTTCATGTAAATGCTTCACAATAAAAGCCACCCCACATTTTTATTGGTTTACACTTTAAAAGTGAAAAAGTAGAGATGTCACAATATTTGTAGTTTTGTAATAAAAAAAAAATGTTTTGATACCATTATGGGACTGTGACAAAATCCACCACAATATTACATATGGTTATTTTGCTAGTATAACTGTGTTCATGTCACAGAATTTGAAACTGACATAGCGGATCGTCGACTTTTAGAGCTGTTGTTTGCCAGCATGTCAGTTTTCCCCTTACAACAAATGACATGGTGGAAAGGTTGGAAAGGAAGCTGAGAAATGCAAAACAATTTGCAAATACTACTGGATGAAGGCAATACTAGCCCCGTTTAGGACTGAGACAATCCTGGATACACCTCAGAAACAGAACCACCTTTGCACAACATTTTAACAGAAATGGGGAAACAAACTGAATGCACATACACAAAACCATCCAATTAGTAACCACCCTTAAAGGTTTTTCTCTTGATAAAGTAGACCACGAGGTTTGAAAAGCACCTCCAGTAAAGCACAAAGCTCACCTTTATGTGGCTTGTCCTATGGTAAATCCCAAAACTGTATCCACGTTTCCCTTACCTGCGTCTTTTCCTTGTGTCTTAGTTCCACCCACATAAGACACAAGGAAAAGATGCAGAGAGAAGCTGGGGAGAGAGGAACTGAGGAAACATGTTTTAACTGACACGAGACATCCTTCCTTCTGATTCTACATGTGAATTGTCCAGTCACAAACCAATTTCCGATAAAGGGGTATGTCAATCTGTAGCAGACCTCTGCAAAGGATACACTTGTGTATGCTCAGTTATGGGTCTTCCAGGCAGCTTCCTCGCTCCTCAGAGCAGAAATAAAAGCTTTGAGACATCCTTCATCATGGTGGACAGGAACGACAAACAAGGCTCAAGGGCCGAGGAATGATAAAATAAGGGAATGAAGATTCACTTGTAGTGTATTTTGGTGCCTTCTTCTCCTCATTCTGGTGTACCAAGCAGCAGTTTGCTCAACCCTGCCCAATGAAAATTGATGCCAATTTTTGCACATGCTTAGGTCATAGCTGGCTACTTGAATTTTATTAAAGAAGTAAAGCAGGCGCACTGTGAAAAGGAAAATTATGCAAAAGCAGTGATTTATTATTTAGTAAAGAGCATTTTTTCATTTTTTTTCGTCATTTTTTAAATATTGTGTCAGGAACTTTTTATATATGGAGCGTAGGTTGAACAGATGTTAGTGGAAAAAAGCTTAGGTAAGCGGGAGATTGATGTTTCCTGTCCAGTTTTTCTAATAAGAATAAAGAAGGAGTGAGTCTGAAATGAAGCATTGAAGGATTCCCAAGCTGTGGACTTGGGAGTTTTCCTTCTCTACTGGCCGGCTCGCACAGTGAACAGGCAGCACGTCACAGGTAACAGTGGTCACAGTGGTCACAATGCATTAGCGCTCAGACAGGACATCTTGTTTTTAACGAGCATCTTTCACTACATGAATATAAAGCAAAGCTTATGTCAGGAGAGAAATAATGGCTTCACTACTGCTAGTGATAATTTTAATGTTGCTTGCTGTGTAGAGCAGAGTGGTTGCTCAGCCTTGAAGTGTTTGGCCTGTGTCATTAGGTTTGACCAAAGCCCAAAGTGCCACGATGTTTACTTCAAGCAAAGTGCTGTAGATTTCCATTCCTTCATGTTGTCGGTAGTATTTCATGGACCTGGACAGATTCTCACTTTGCTTCCTATCCTGGGCTGTACTCAAGGTCTCGCCTCAGCTGTTTAAAGTGCCACAGGGCTTCCGGAGAGGAAGATGCCAACCTTCAGTTTACACTTTGACCAAGGCTCTGCCAAATAAGGAAGCATCTGCCTTGTGTTTTCTCTGAATGCTGAAGAGGGGCCTAACTTTTCATATTCTGAAGGTTCTTCATTAACATTTATCCCATTTTTGGACAGTTGTGAAAGTAGAGGAAACGCACACTAAGGGTTGATTAAATGTGTTTATGAATATTGTTGTGTGGTAATTCTGGTAATTCTGGTAAAATGTCTGGCTTAGGTTTTTTCCCACGTAAAAAAGAAAAGATATATTTGCCTTTTTATATGTTGATAGGAAGAGAGGTCATGCCAACCAGAGCACCTCATCCACAAATAGGTGGAGCCTT